GTCCTTCCGCAGGTTTTCTCTGCGCAGCCAGCAACGCCTGTCCTTACGCAGACGCACGGCACCCAACACCCCCACTGCTGTAAGACGCCACACATACACACACACTTTAAGTACAGAAACATAGCAGGGAAGCACTGATTCCAACTTTCATCGCTGATGGTTTTGCAAACAGTGAATCGGTGTATCTAGAGATGAGGCACTAATGTGACTCATAAGTTTTACTTTTACATCTGTTGGTGATAAATAAAGCACAAGTGGCATTCAAGTCATTTCATAGCTATGTCCATGTCACTGTATTAACTGCTGCTCCTTCATCAAGTATTTGGTCTCTAGCCAAACATGTGAAGAACTTAACCACATGCTGCCTGATGCACAGCCCTGCTGCTTCTCATCTGTTGATTTTTGTGGATTATTCTCATCTCCATCTTGTTTTCTTTGGAACAGCGTAGTGTTTGTCTCTCTTTGATTAGCAAATCCGTTGTGCTACCTGTTCTTCAAGTGATATAATTAGACACAAGAACTGAGAAAGGGGCTGATAAACACTGAAATTGTAAAATATGTCTATATTTTATAATTGTTTATTTATTTGTACATAATTTCTGTCCCTTGTAACCTGGTCTGCGTGAAGGACAGATTTAAAAGTCCCTGAGGGACGTGTGCCTTGCAGTGAAGTTGTTCCTATATTCATGTCGACGCCTGTTTGCTCAACTGCTGTCCAACACCTCATGAGTCACAGCACCTAAAGATAAGAGGTGTTTTCATGAGATCTGTGTTGCTATTAGTTGTGTTACCATGTCTAAAGTTAGTTCTACACATCAGCAACTGTTTTTGTGGTCTGTGGGAGTAGCGTCCGGCGTCCGCTCCCACTGACTCAGTAAATGACAGTAAATGATCCCTAATGATTGAAAGCTATTGAATTGATGAGAGGAGGCAGTGGATTTGAAAACTGGAACTACACATTTCTCCCAGAGCACAGAGAAACTGAAGACGGTTGAAAAAGCCATTACCACTAGCACATCTAGACACAAGGCTTTATTTTCGTGCCCTATTCAAGCTGTCTCTGCTGTTTGTGACCCGTTTTTGGTCCGTTGTCTGAGGTGTGAGCTGCATATTACAGTTATACGTAATTGTTGTTTTGATCTATTCATTTATTTTTGCCAGTTCAAATCAATAGCAGAAATGATACCAATATAATGTTTATTGTTGATATACTCATCCAGAAAACCGGCCAACTGGTTAATCAGAAAGTAAAGTTTTATTTTTTTTATTTTTTTTAAACTTTTCATTCTCCTATTTTGAGAGTGATTTCTTTGCAGGTCTCATTATAAGGAGTTGAATCAGTGCTCCATGATTTTCAGAATAGCTGTGGTAGTATAAACAAACGGTTCTGCTCTGACATCTCATAGCTAGAAGTCACTTGTAATCTCAGATGACTTCCCAAAATGATCGGTTTCCAAAGCCCCTGACTAAGTACTCTGATATGCAATTTCTGTTATAACAGATTTTATGTAAATATAAACTGCTCTGAGTTAAAATTGTGATTTGTGAAAACATAGTATGTTTTATACCAAAGTGGTACGAATGTGGCCACCACAGACTGTAATTGGAGAGTTGAACGTAACCACATCACCCATTGCTTTGCCTTGATGTTAGACATTATGGTCTTTCCCGTGTAGGTGATTAGGAGCCTGAAGTGACCATCTAATGAGTTATCACCCACTAACTAAGGCTGGTTACCAATAGAGTATGACCAGTTTATTTATTTTTATAATCAGAATAGTGGATTTTTAAGACAACATCTGTCCTTAAAACCCTTTATCTGTCAAGCAAGAACTGCACCGTAATAGATACATGGAAATTACTGCCAGAATTTCAATCGCTTCAATCACTTGTGTGGGCTGTTGGTGCAGTTAACTGCTTCATAAACAACATTTTTTTATTTATTGACTGCAATAAAATAGCTCTAAAAAGCCAACATGGTTGAGACAACCAGTTCAGTGACTCATAACATCTCAGGTGACTCTTGGCAGACAGCTAGCAGTGCTAACTGAATCTGTTGGCACCCACCTGTCACTCAGAGTAGCCACACCTGTAATAATGCAACCTTTAAGCAGTAATAAAGTTTGAAAGGGCGAAATATTTTAAAAAAAAAAGTACATTAACACTTCAAGTACACTTTTCACAAAGGAAGAAAGTTGGTTGTTTTTTTTGTATATACGGGAGGATTCCCTTTAAGAGGCAGACACAAAGGCCTATTCAGGAAACTCAAATTTTAGGCACTTCTGCTTTATTTTTCAACATGTATGTAGCAGTTTCTGAAATTTACAAGATGTAAGCATGTATACACGCTGAAGGGAAACACATTTGATCTCAAACAATCTTCCTGTTTGCAAACCAGAAAAACAAACCCCAGACTGAAAGTAATCCTCTAAGTCAGGTTCAGCACACTCTGAGCTGAAATCTTAAGCCAAGTCAGGTTTCTTACATTCTTCTCTCTGTTCTTACGAACTGCTTTGTACGACGGCGAGACCTCGTCTGTATGCAACACTTGTGTAATGAAAAATATATACAGCACTGTTCTGTTTTCCTTGTAGGGTTTCTCGTAATGTAAAACTTCTGACATGCGGCTAAAGCCCATTTGCTGGCATGAGATTAGTGCTCACGGGAGCAGTTGTTTTGAATATCTTTTAGGATATTGATATTGATTGCTGGGGTGTACATGAGTGCCCGCCAGGCATATTTTCCCACTCCACCAAGGCCAGAGGGATTGAAGCAGATGAGAATGGAGCGGTGAGTGCTATAAGTGTGATTGAATGTGTTTTTAGGGCTTTTATTACCCTGACATATATAAGATGGACAATGATAGTCATCCTGAAATACACATACACATTCCTCGATAGCATCAAATTGTGGTACAAGCTTGTATCTTAGACACTGTTTATGTAAATAGAATGACTATATCGAAAGATCTCTGCCCCTGATGTCAGACCATGAGGTAACAGAGCCCTTCCCTTTTCAAGAAACAGCACTGCAGCTACTCGCCTTTCAGTTAACTGCTGAGGACGTAACAGTCACTGCTGCAATCGGCAGCCGGTGCACTATCAAAAAGTTTCCAAGGCCCTGCTCCAGCCCCTTCCTCCGCAGATTGTCAGTCAGACATATTTAGTGATCAGCCTTTTCTTTCCTTCATCCATCCATTCATCCGGGCTTTGTTATGTTGTTTCCCCTGACACACCCTTCCTGTCCAGAGGAAGTTGGCTATTGCTAATGTTATTAAGGAAAAGCCTTCCTCCTGAGAGCTATAGCTGCTAGACCTGTCAGTTCAGTCGGTTTCCTTCATCTTTTCCACGATTACTGCAAAGGTTGCACCTGTGAGTGTTCATTCAGCAAAGGTAATTAACAGCCATAGTGGATATTTTTTTTCCTTTTTTTTATATATGTGGCATTGTTTGTTTTGGGTGTTTAACCAGTACATCTGTCTAACCTGGCACTGTCTGTTGATTGATGGAGATTTAAGTCAGAAAAAGACACAGAAAGACTCCAGCTAAAGTTCAGTTACCAAGGCTGGTTGAAAGCTGCTATTGTACTGAATAATAAAAGCTAAGAGATTATGAATGAGCCTCTAAACAGCTTTACAACCTCTGCTTTGAGCACCCTGCCATAAGTACCTGTGTAAAGACTGCTCACTACAACATGTTCCAGCAAAGGCAGTGTTCGACCTCTGCACTGATCTGCTGAGGGAGTGTTCTGGGCGTGTTTAGGTTGAATAGCACACATGTACACATTGGATTGGAATTTTTATCACCAGAACTTTACAAGGCCTATTTGCCTGCAGTGATAGCAGTGTACAGCAACATGTGAGGGTAAAACTGAAAGATGACATAATATCAGCAAGTGTAGCTGGAAGCTTTCACAATCAAAACTCCAGAATCTCCATATTTGTAGCATCACATGCTGGATTATGATCGTTGTAGACCAGAGAAGTGAAATATTTTACTGGCTCTGCCCAGGCAGTGTGTGCATTTTTTATCTTTGCTTCTGTATCAGAGTCACTCAGGACTCAGATATGCAGTTTTTAAGGTTAAGTGTTGGTGCTGTAAGTCCTTGAGAAGAGGTTATGCTGAAGTACCAAGTGCTTTCTCAGATGCAGGGAGTATTGTTGAATGCCATTCTGGCTGTTTTCACTTTTCCTGTTGGGAAGGGCTTCGCTGATGAATGATGTCCTGTGTTTTTTCCTCACTCTCACACTTTCTTCAGCTGTTTTGTTTTCCCTCAATCAGAATTTCACACAGTCACACTCTTCCTCATGTGCTCATTCTTACACCTGTTTTGCAGCACCCCTGCGTCTCTGCTCTTATATACACAAAGAAAACATTCACAAAGCTTCAAGTACGAGTGCTCTAATCTGCCCTCCGTGCTCATATAAGCACAACTACTGAGCTGCTCTCGCTGTTAAGGGGCCTGGGCAATTACAGAGCCAGGTGTATCAGATTTCTTTGTCCAGCCCTTAGGCAACATCTGAGGACAGAACGATTTTCTATTGTTTTGTTCTATATAGGCCAGGCTTATCAGTTCTTCTGCCTCTGTGAGCTCCGTGTGGGTTTGAGACAGTATGTCCTCTGTGCCCGCCTCATTAAAAGAGGCATGGTTCAGTAGGCAGAAAAAACACACTCGATCACCCAGCCGCCCACCACCATCTCTGTCCCCACTCTGGTTCTGTCTCCATTAACTCATCCCTTCACCTTCCATTACCCGTCTTACCACTGGTGGCTGCTCTATCAGCAACACTGTGTGCTCTTCAGAAGTAATTTTAGTTATGATGTCAATTAGCTACTATTACACTTTATCATTCATTAATGTTTTGTTGCTTGGCTTCCTATTAGGGATGTGAATGGTCCACAGATATTAAAGACTTGTTCACTGCACCCCACTGATTTTTAGCTATTCATGTCTCTCAAGCTGGTTGTCATCATTCATTGCTCTTCTGTTTTTTCCCCTAGGTACAGCAGAAGCAAAGTGTCAGTGGTGAAGAGGAGGTGAAGGGCTCAGAAACACCGGTCCGTGAGACTGACAGTCAGTATGGGACCTGGGAGACGGGACTACGCACTGATGATAGGTAAATATACAATAAAAATGACATGCAAATACAACTAAACTAGGTAAATTAAAAATGTCTAGGCTACTTCAAAACAACTAACTTAGAAGAGAGGCCAGGGTTGGGCTGGCCAACACTCCTGCCTAGGGATGGGTATCGTTTAGGTTTTATCCGATACCGGTGCCAAATCGGTACTTTTGAAACGGTGCCGGTGCTTAAACGGTGCTCAAACCGGTGTTTAAAGAATGGAGAACACAAATTGGTCCAAAAACCTCTCATGTTCAGCTGTTTTTTGTAAAAAGATAACAATGTTTGCCTTTTCTGCAGCTATGGGGCATATATGGTATCACTCTTGGCTGGAAGCAGTGCTTAAACAATGGAAAAAACACAAACTTTGTCCAAAACCTCTCATGTTTAGCTGTTTTCCTCTTTTTCTTTGGTCATTTTAGCCTTTTTAGCCAGGGTGAAAAGAGTATCTGCCATCAAACAAGAGGACAGCCGCATGTAGCTATGATGATGTTTGCTAGTTCACCTTACATGCATTAATGTAATAACGTGGTTAGCCTACTCAACATAAATTAGCTACTCACGCAGAGAAGAACGGCTGCTGCCACCATCATCCGTCATCATTTCTGCTACACTGGCAGGGCTAGGGGCCAGGACTCTCCTCTTCGTGTTTTTGGGGGATGTTGCATAACAGGCAACCCACCCACAGTAGATGTGCTCGGTGTGAGGTCTCGCAGCAAGCTATCAAATACGGCGCATTTCTGGGCTTTTAAAAAAAAACGCTATACGTCGCCAGGTGTTTCATCGGATTTGAGGTGTTACCTCCTTTGACAGTATCACAGTATCAGCTTAAAGCACTTGTTGCTGCTGAGTTTGCATATTTTGCTGTGAAGTACAGCCAGACTTTTGACCGCTTCGCCTTGGACATTTTTAATCTGTAGCTCTGCTCTAACAGAACGTACGTACCTGGCCCCGCCTACTATCCTCGGAAACGTAAAATGATTGGCTAGAATCTAAAGTGTATCACAGCTCAGGAAAAAAAAGCACCGAAATAAAGCACCGAAATGTGCGCTGCTTTTCGGTCTGGTTACTACCGTTTATGTCAGAACACCGGACACCGGTACCCATCCCTACTCCTGCCTCACTACACAGCTTTGGAAAATGTGAAGGAAGACATACATTTTGAACTTTTAACTGCATTATTATATCACTATTTTATTACAGAAAGTTCTGTTGTTACAATGGATACACACATTTTTTAGAAATGACATTTTCTGTGATGAGCTACAGCTACCAGAACATGTATTTCTTACAATTGAAGTCATTCAGATAAATTTCTTTTGTTTCCTACATCAGCATTACTTTATCATGTACAAAATACTGAGATGTCCTGCTGAAATTGCTCTTCTCCTTCTCATATTAAGGTATCAGAAGGAGTAAATGTGTACATGACATCCCTGATTTAAAACAAACAAAGATATGGCCAATACTTGTACGACTGTGTGAGACTGCACTGTAAAATGTTAATTCAAAACACTTTGGAAGCAGTGAAATGGGAAAGATGATTTTTATAAACAGACATGTGCTTTAAGATCAGCATCAGACAAAAGGGAGTTTTATTTTTAATTATTAATAATCCTACATTAAAACCAGGAGTCAAGAGTTCAAGCAGCAATAGAGTGATGACCAGTCAAGTCTCCACAGGCACAAGCTTTATCCACACCTGAAAAGGCGTGGCCTTTTGAGACTGAAGGCCACACACCACCCAAAGACAAACGGCTGCCATTGCGAGACCAGCGGATTAGAATGAAAGGCAGAGTGATTTTTTTTTAAACCCTGACGCATTAATCTCTTCATATGTTTGCTGACATTGCACCGCCTGAGCTGAGATGTTTAATAAGTCACAATCTATAAAATGTTCGACTCTGACAAATCAGTGTCATTTTTGTTTATAAATGATTAAAGCCTGATGAAAGAAGAACTTTAGTTAGCATAATAGCACAATAAAAAGTTTATTAAAGATCTTAAATAAAATCAAACAAGTTGATCCAAAATGATTAAATGCTATGGTGATAATGTTTGAAGAAGACCAGAAAATCAGCGGCCCATTCAACAACACAAAAGATCGTTTACCTTAAAAAAGACGAAATCCAAACATGATGTAATCCAATAAATATTGCCTATGTAGCAACAGCATGCAGGAGTGAAATGTGTGTAAAGGTTTAATAGAAACCCACAGCTGAGCTGAAATAACTTCAGGTGGAACAACAGATTGTTCTTCTCGCTTCATTGCATTACTTTGCGATCCATTACTGACCTCATGTGGTCAGAACATAACATCACAAAAATACTGAGCACTGATGATAATAATAAAGGAGAGTAAGTTCTTAAAAGTCTGAACACACACTCTACACAGTTCACTTTACTAGGGTTCACTGTTTTCACTGTTGTCATGGTTTTGATGAAATGATGAGATCCTGTGGTTACTTAATCCACGCAGCTGTTTTCAGACGTTTCAAAGATCTTGTTTATGCTAATCATCGACAGTCTGACACCTGCGACTCCCAGCTCAGAAAGTAATCTCAGTCCTTCACCGAAAAAGCCAACTCCAGCACACACACCAGGTGATGTTGCTTCACCGTTTGAAAGCAGCAGTCTGGATGGCCTCCCTCCCTCATCCCCACCTGAGAGCCAGCCGCTCTCTTTCCCTGACGTAAGTGCTAAACACAGCTCAATCCTTTTGAACGTTACCAAATGAGCCGGTTTAAGTCAGTAAAGTCTGCTCTGTCTTCACTATGGTGACACACGTCTTCTTTATTATGCTGTGTTTATACATTTTGTCTCGTGTTTTCTTTTTGTGTTTTGATATCCAGGCTCCGACCACCCTGTTAGATACCAGCGTGCTCCGCTCTAGAGCCCAGCTGGGGAAGAAACGAGCGCCGCGGACACGACCCACCAGGGCTACACGTCAGAGTGCTGCACAAGCAGAGGGTGAGGGAGGAACCACTGAGGACTGGCTCTACAGAGACTCCACAGGTTACTACTCATTACTGCTCATGAATGAATAAGGTTCTAGATATGCAGACTCCAAAGTGCAGTTCTGTTGTCCATACATGCCTTTAATCTAGAGTCTCTCAAAAGTTCACCTCCCTCCTAGGGCTGCCACGATTAGTCGACTAGTCACGATTACGTCGACTATCAAAATCATCGACGACTGATTTAATAGTCGACGCGTCGTTTGAAGGTTTGTAAGATCGCAAAAGACACAGGAATAAGTAGCAGGATTTAAGAGTGTAATAACGGACTGAAACAGAAGATGGCAGCACTGCATGTACAAGGATGCCAGCTGCCGTTAAACCCCGAAGAAGAAGCTGTGTCCCAGAATTCATAGGGCAGCCCAGCTCTGTCACTACCTGATCCGTACCGGAAACCCGATCGGTACCCCGCATGCGCAAATCTTACGTCACTTCCTCTCTTTGCCAACATTGCGTCATTCAATATATTTGAATGATACGGTTAGCGGTCAGTTAGCTCCTAGCATTTCTCAACAGCTCTGCCTCCTTTTCGACTGCCCGGGACATTTAAACAATGGATAATCCGTATACAAAGAAATTCATGCTTTTCTCCTCAACAGAGAGCGTCCCCCGATTGAGCAACAGCGCCGTAAAATAAGAAGAATGGCGCCTAATGACAGAGTTAATAATGCAGACTTTGTAATATCTCACGTGTAGATTCATCAGCCAGATTAAGTGTTTACTGACAATTGACAGTGATAGCGCACATCATCATCACTATTCCAACAATCCTCTCCTCACAGACAAGCATAAACACACTCGACTATCGCTAAATCAGATTTAACACACGTTTGTAATGACGCTAATTCAGTTTATAATAGGGTTTATTCGCTCGGTCAGCAGGTGGCGGTATCCTCGTTCACTGGGGAGTAAACTGCCATTAAACGAACAGAAGAAGAAGAAGAAAACATCTGCACATGTGCAGTAAGGATCGGAGAGTCCTGATCCGTAACTTTATTTTTATTTTTCGATTTTGTCTACATTGTACTGAAATGCTTCATTATTGCAAACATTTTAAGATATACTTGTTATTCTTAACAGATACTCTGACCCATAACTATCGTAAAACACTACAACCGGAAGTAGAAACCTTTCGCGCATGCGGGGTACCGATCGGGTTTCCGGTACGGATCGGGTAGTGACATGCTCAGTTTCCAACAATGGCGGCAGCTGGTTAGTTTTAATATTACTCTTATTATTCTTTCTGGGTCACAAAATAAACGTTTAACATATTTCAGGCGAGAATGTAGCTGTGTAAACCTCAAATATCTGCTCAGTTTATCAGGACACCACATATTCTCAAAAGCGCCCCGGCATTTTCAGAGACGTCCGTTACCCACTAGCTCGATAGCTAGCCGGGGGCAAGGCTCACTAGAGCCGTGAGAACACCGGACTCCTGGCAAATCGTTTTCAAACCCACCGCCATCTTTCGCTACTCAGGTTAAACATGATATCTAAGTCACTTAGATAACTTAAAAATTTTATTGTTTGGCTTTTTTTAGTATTTTAGTTGTTCCTGAGTAAATCGGTTTGGCTGAGATTAAAGTTATAGTTTTTACACAGCTGAATAAACGTCAAGCAGACAGCTGATTATCAGAAGTGTGAGATGCTGGAGAATTTACTCCGGTGTCCTGTTATATTTTAGATAGCAAGGAGTTTATTAAACTTCACCGAAACAATCTGCAAATTTCATTAAAATTTAATAAACTATCATCTTGTCTTTATTTTTAGTTAGCACAGACCTTAAACACTTAAAGCTGTAAGCTAATGATAGTTATATAAGAGCAGATGCTGCCGGTGCAATAAGCTGTACGTTTAACGTCCAATGGATGATGATCTGATTAGTGACTAATCGCAAAAATAATCGGTGACTAGTCGTCTATCAAAATTTGTGGCAGCCCTACTCCCTCCCTGCACTCTCTTAACTGGCTCCCAAATCACACAAAGAACTTTTCCAACCACAACAACTTTTCCCAGGGAATAGAAGGCTTATGATGTTCCCCTAAATGCAATTTTTCCCGATAGACCGTGGACTGAATTCAGTTCCAGGAACATCAATTTCATTTATTCCAGGAATCTGATTCATAAGTCCTCACTGGGCAGTTGAAGTTTCAGGAAGTTTCAGTTTGAAACAGGAACCATTTAATATTTCTACCAGCATTTCGGTGCAAGTTGGTTTTCTTGTATTTTGTGGTGGAAATACTCGGGCTAATAAATTAACATGACGACCAGGGTTGGTTCATTTTTGTTGCGAACAATAACCAAGGGAATTTGAGATCTTTACTTGTTTGTTTTAATTAATTTGCTTAAACCTCCCAAAGCTGAAGCCCTGTTGTGGAAATGCAAATTTAAAAATCCCTGGAGGAGCTTCTACACTTGCTGCACATAAGCTCTAGGGGGAGATTACAGGACATTTGGTGGAAAGTACCTGTTAATATGTGCTCACCGTTCGACAGAGGCAAAGGCTGAGAGTAAAGACGATGACTCAGACTCTGAGGAGAAGCCCAGAGGAGCTGATGCTGCACCGGCTGTTGCGTCACAGCCACAGAGGGTCGCCCTGTTCCCTGGCATGGACCCTTCAGCTTTAAAGGTGAGCCAGGAACTGTGCGTTCACCTCCTGGCATTGTTTGTCATGTTGCAGTTTTATTTCACAGAGCCTTCTCTTATTTTAAACTCGCACTGACTTTTTAGCAAACTCTTTGTAATGCATCGCTTTTTCTGTCAGGCACAGCTGAAGAAGAGGGGGGACTCTGACAATCAAACTGATGGACCTGCTCCCTCTCCCTCCCAGCTGTCTCGCTCTCCCAAGTCCCCTTTTCTCCCCAGGGCAGCGCGTGTGCTGCCCCCCTCTGGCGGGAAAGAAAATGGGTAAGCAACATCAGCTGAACACAAAACGTTTATTTTATACTTGAGAGAATTTGTCGACTCATCGTTTATCTTACTTTGTAGCCAGGAGGATTCACCCCAGTGGTTGAAAGAGCTGAAATCCAAGAAACGCCTGAGTCAGTATGAAAGTGAGAGCTAAGTAAATAATAAGGTGAGCTAGGTTTTTGGCTCTTCTGTGTGTCTTCTTGTTTTGTAACAAATAAACAGCAGCGGTTCTCATACTTATCTCTGTCTGTCTCCTGAAGGTTGCCTTAACAGATGAATCTGTGTGAAACAGAAGCCTTAACGTTTGACCCAGAGAGTAGGAGGAGGTTGAATCTACAGCTGCTGATGATTTTTTTTTTTTTGGGTTTTTTTTAAACCCCCCCACTTTTTTTTCTCTCTCTCTCTCTCTTCTCATCTGGGTCGGTAAATGTGCATGGTGCCTTTTTGGGGGGGAAGTCTCTGTCCTATGGAAAAAGAAAAACGAGCATGGAGGAAAAACATCAGGCTGGTCTGCTTACTCCATTTCATGCTTGAACACAGGGGCTCCAAAACGAACTTCACACGAACACTTTAAAGAGGGACCAGGAGGAGTCGGGAAGACACAGCACCTCCTTTTCCTGGACGAGCTTCATCGCATGCTGGAGGACAATCCAGCCAATCCTTTGCATCCAGTTTCCTCTTTACTGAGCTAATGTACAGGCTAGCCATGTATGTGTTATCTGCAGAGGTTGCTGATTGGAGTCACACAAACTTTGCCATAGGATGACATTTCAGACACTAATGATTTCTGCGTATTGAGAACAAACCTCCACGGTCTTGATCGTCCACGGGGGTGCTGCTCATGTTAGTATCTGTAATCAGGAGATGTTATATTTGTATCCTCATTGATTTAACAAAGGTGGAGAACTCGTTTTGGAAAGGATGCATCACTACAGCAGAGCTGTTCACTTTGATACAGTTACACAACCTAACAGGGGTGCAGTTGCTGCATACTGTGTATATATTTTTTTGTGATTTATCTTTTTGTCAATGTGTAAGAGGGATGGGACAAGCAGCTTTGTATCTGTCAATCATGCACACTCCTAATCAGCACAAACACACTCCTCAGTCTTTTATAAAAACACTAATCAGCCCATCTTCCCCTTCTTTAGTAGATTGTAGCTGCGAGCATCTAATTTAAGCCATACTCACCTACTTCTCGATCATGTCCTGACAATACTGTTTTTATTTCCCAGTATGTGCAATTTCCCTTTCGTTTTTGTCACTCATTATCCATGCATGTACAATCTTTGCTGTCACATCAGGCTTGGCTCTCGCTGACTGGTTCAGAGGACCTAGATGTTGACTTACACTACTCCAGGGAAGGGGACGGTTCATTCACTACAATGTAAACGAGTCCTGTAATGCACCAAACTAATGTGAACATTTGAACTTCAGCTACGCCTCATCTCCGTCTTCCTCTCCACATTTGCCATCTCCCTACTTTCTCCACGCTTCAGTAAAGCACTTTGTCACTTGACGCACTACAGCACAGACACCCACCCACCACCACCCCTTCCCCTCTGGTCTCATCTTCTGTATCGTCGGCCTGCTCGTGCAATGCAAGTGAATGTGTTGATCGAGGCTTCAGAGTGATTGTCCCTGGTGTGTATGTACATGGATGTTTTACTTTGTCATAAAATTCAAGGGTTAATTTTTATGCCCTTTTTTTTTTTTTTTTTTTTTTAATTCAAAAGGAAAGGTCTATATTGCACTGTGTTGTACTGGCCAGTGTCCTAAAGTGAATAAATTCTTAATAAAATATACTTGACTTGTGTCACAGCCTCATGTAACATGAAAAACTGCATTGTTCTGGGTATTTCTTGAATCAAGTTACTTATTTTTAGTACACAAAAAAGGCACGAGGAACTCTTGTGTAGTTGAGATTGGGTGAATGAGTGTGTGTGTGTGTGTGTTTATGCTGAGTAGGGCCGTTTGCTGAATCCTCTTGGCTCTCTCTCTGTGTGCCCACACACAACGCCTGCTGGCAGCCAGGCAGATAGGCAGGGCAGCGTGTGCCAACACAGCTGCCTATTGAGAGGCAGCGTTACGGACACAATGTGAGCGACAGACTTGCTGTATCAACAGCTCCCCCTTTTCTGCTGTTGTGGCCAGAAATAAACCATAAATACCCCCCCCACACCATCCCTGCGGTCTAATGGCTCAACCCCACCAAACACCAAGTGGCAGCGAAAAAAGAGGGACACTACAGCTTCCTAGCAGGCATACCCAGGTAAAAGCCTCCTACTGGACACATACTTATCAATCACCATGGTGTAATAATGCCATTGCAAAGGAGTTCAGTGGTGCTGCACCGGGGAAGACTCAGGTTTGGTGGAGTTTGTTATTAAGTATTGCACGTAATGAAGAAAATGTGTGTTCATACTCGAAAAACAAACTCTTATCAGGTAAATTATTACTGCTGAGGCTTAAAAAAAGTCCTCCTGCTCAAGGATGTATTCTACAATTGTAGCTTAGACATTAAGCTTCTCTCGTGTGTGTGTGTGTGTGTGTGCGCGCGTCCATGTATGAATGTGTGACGGACGGTGCTTTTTCTATGTGTGTGCTGCTGCCAAAAAGTGGAGGAGCAGTGGATCAGGAGGATGTCGGAGCAGCAAAGTGCCCCGGAGCAGCTAGCTGCTGGGAAGAGCCAGGGTGGAGCTGGAGCCACATACAAGGTACTGGAACAACTTGGTTTGCTCATAGAAGAACTGCTCCCAGGGTTCACCTTTATACAGGTGTATTTCGCTGCCCAGCTATTGGTCACAGATGTACCTGCATCATCTGCTGAACCTGACAGTTTGAGTTATTTTTAAGCTCAGCCTATGTCATGTCTATTTTCTATATGGAGGCTGTTATCTTAAGCTCCCAGGGGAAACTGAAAGGAGTCTGTGTTAGTTTATGGAATGCCTTTTGTTTCTGTGTTTCCAGGTGGTGCTGTTTGAGTTTGAAAATTTTCAGGGCTGCAAGGCAGAGTTTTCTGCAGAGTGTAAAGATGTGACAGAGAAGGGACTGCAGAAGGTCAGCTCTGTGATTGTTGAGTCAGGACCGTAAGTAATGCCGCATGTGAGATTATTCATATAAGAAAATGTAGAAGATAACTTGTTAGGCAAGCTTGTCATGCTGGTAAACTCGGATCTTCTCTTTTCCCCTCAGCTGGGTGGGTTATGATCGGCATGGGTTCACAGGGGAGCAGTTTATTCTGGAGAAAGGAGAGTATCCACGCTGGGACACCTGGACCAACAGTCAGAACAGCTACTCCCTCTTGTCTCTAAGGCCACTCAAAGTGGTGCGTGACTAGTTTACATACAAAGCTCATGATGCAGTCACACAGATATGTGAAGAATATTTGACACGAGCTGTTTACACGTAACCTTTGCCCGTTGTATTTTTACCTCCTGACACATTTTAAATGATTGCTTTACTGAATCAGTGTCTACAAACACACGCACACATTCAGACTACACCCTGGTGACATTTGTGTAATTTTTGTGTTCAGGATGGTGCTGAACACAAGCTGCACCTGTATGAGAATCCAAGTTTTACTGGCAGAAAGATGGAGATCGTTGACGATGATGTGCCCAGTTTGTGGGGCCATGGTTTTCAGGACCGTGTAGCAAGCATCAAAGCTCTCAATGGAACGTAAGATCCTCAGCGCACCCTTATCTAAACCACATCGCACTGCCTTCTGGGTGTTTTTCTGCGACACACCTCACATTTTGTCTGTTTCTCCTTCCTCCAGATGGGTTGGCTACATGTACCCAGGCTACAGGGGTCGGCAGTTTGTCTTTGAGCGAGGAGATTTCAAGCATTGGAATGACTGGGAGGCCCCCGCTCCCCAGATCCAGTCTGTCCGACGTGTGCGAGACATGCAGTGGCACAAGAGGGGCTGTTTCATCGTTCCCGATCCAGCTCCGGCTCCTGATCCCGACCCTGCCCCAGCACCTCCTGCCCCTCCTGCTACAGCTGGAGCCAGCTGAGCAGGACCCTCGCCTGCCTCCCACAGCCTTCCCCACGCTGCCGACAGTGCCTGCCCTCTGCCTTAACCTAACCACGGCAAACGCTGCTTGTGCCCAGTGAGGAGTGCCATGTATGTATCAGTGGCGAATAAAAGTTGTTTGACCTGGAGTTTATTGGTGATGTTGTACTTCAAGTCAAGGTGGAGATGGCTTTAACTAAAGGTTTGGAAACAAAATAAAAACACTATCAGAGATGTCACACTGACATCTATGTGGAGATAATGCAGCCTACATCTGGCAGATAGTTTTCCTCGAGATAAGCTGCAGATGTGTGCCGCTTTCATTGCATGTGTTTTCCTATTCTAGTCAGACAGCTGAAAACCTCATCGAGCATTAGGAACACATGACTTATTCAATGCATATGTGGATACGCGTTTGCCTAACAGAAATGGAAATGATGTCATGCTGTATGTATGCTTGCTATTAAAACAGAGTGCGCTGCATTCCCTTCCCTTAGTCTTCATTGTGCATTTGGTGGTTAATGGTCACAAGGTGAACACTGAGAGCATGCAGTTACTCCAGTGTACCTATTTAACACTATTATACTAGTGTTAAGTTCAGGTTTAGCATAATAAGAGAAAAAAAATCAGTCCAAATGTAAAAGCACACATGCATGCGGTTTTTAAAACAAAGCACACTTTTCCCTCACAACACTGACTGGAGCATTTTCTCTATTTTTCTACAAAGTGCAAAGTTTTAATCATGTAAAAGAGGGAGAGCAGAGATAAGAGACACAGACCTGAAGTTTATGCATAATACTTGCAGAAAACATGCAGCTGATCATCAATAACTCAATCATACGCGATCATGAGAAGATTCTGGCAATTTCTGCCTCAGCATAGTTTCCCTGGACTAGAATTTTCACTTAAACATGAGGCTTTCAAACACGCACGCACACACACACACAAAACACATCTGAAATGAGCCACAAACAACCTCACTGTTGTCAGAAAGCAAGCAATTTTACTCAAGGATTTGTCAATCCTGTGAGTGTGCAACCGGATATTGAGCCCAGATTTACTGCCCATAATCGCATGAAAAACAAATTAACTATTGATTAGTCATACAATCATTTCCTGAGTGTACTTGACTACACTTGACTACATCAAGTGTAGTCAAGTGAACATAACATCCCAACAAAACAGTCGCAGTCAGCATGTCTTTAATCGACAAAGTCGTTGACTGTTTCTCAGACGGACCATCTGGCTCATAAAAGCAGCCAGTCACTGGATTTGATTGCAGGACTCCTTCGGTTCTAATGATTGGATGTAACTGTGTTACATTATCTGTCTGTGTAATGTGTTCCCTGAAAGAGTCGTGTTTGTGTTTTGGAAATACAAGTCGTATACAATATTTTCAAGGGTGGAACGTTTGTACAGCATACATCTTTATTGACTTTGAATATATTCCATCCACTTTGTGCAATGTACCAGTACCACTGGCAGCAGAGTCATGCTGTACCACAGGATGATGCTATCACCATGCTTGACTTTGGGTAGAGCATTTGAAAGACTGACTTTTGCTCCCATAACCATACCTTTTGTTATTGTGGCAGAAAAGCTCTCTGTCTTTGTCTTGACTGACCATAAAACTTCCAGAAGGCATTTAGTTTGTACATTTGGGCAGCTGCAAATTACAGTTGAGCTTGATGGTGTTGATTTTGGAGCAGGGCCTTCTTCTTTGGTTGGTTACCACTCAGTCCATGGCGAGGTAAAACTGGCTTCCTGTAGACAGTGACGCTGGGGTTTCAGCAGTTTCCGGTTCATGACAGATTTGATCCTTTGTGGTTTCTGAATTGTTCTAGGCCATTGTGAACAATTTCCTCTCATCTGAGGGTGACAGTTTTGGTGTTCTTTCAGACCTTGGCAAAGTGGTGTCACACCTGATTAACTGTTAGCTCCAAGAGATCTTCCCAGCTTGTGTAAATCTAGCTTTCTTTCTTAGATCTTCACTGAGCTCCTTGGACTTTTCCATTGTTCTGAGCATTGTCAGTCCAATGAGTGCTGTCAAATAAATCCTTTTTATGTTGGCAAAGACAATTTGCATACAGATGAGGACAGAATTATTTGCCACACAGTACAGAAAAAGTCTGGCAGAAGTAGGAACCAAACAATTTCAAAGACTCTGGAAAGAAAACTATCGAAGATGTATCTAAAAACCCCAGAACAACTGCCAAGACTCTAGTGAATGACTTAGCCAAACCAGCAATTGTACTCTGAAAGAGGGCAATCACTAGAAGCCTGCACAGGAATGGACTGCAACGTTATGGACCAAGAAAAACTCCACATATAGTGTCAAAGTTCCCAAGTCCTAATTCGAGACACCATCAAAGCTGGTTGAGAACAACAGGGCTAAAGTCCTGTGGGACCAGCAGCTGCTGGTCAACCAACCAGACACAGTGGTGGTTAATAAAAAGCAGAAGACTGCAGTTGTGATAGATGTTGCAATCACAGCAGACAAGAACATCAGGAAGAAGCAGCATGAGGGAGCAACAGGAGCAGAATTGGAAGGTAAATTCTAAAATGGTCCAAAGTGTTCCTGGTAACAGGAGCATTGGGAGCTGTAACAACAATACTAAAAGAGTGACTTCAACAGATTTCACGCACAACAACAGAGGTCTCTCTCAGTAGGGAACTTATAAGCAATTCAAATTCAATTTCTTCTTCTTTATTCTTGGACACTAATAAAGTTGCTTAGAATGATTCGCAGTTCAAAATAATCCTTATTTATCATATACCGTGTCTTGGTTCAGCCTCATATGTTCCTTTAAGGTCCCTGAAAAGCTGCAGCTTGGTATTGTAATTCTGCAAAGGCTCTTGGCCACCGCTGAAACAGACCATCAGGCAACACCACAAAACCTCAAACCCAAAAATCTCAGCTCCAGTTCATCTGTTGTCCGTGGTGATGCATGCACATTATGATCTCATTAAAATGTTTCCTTTTAGCAACACTAACAATAAAAAGATCACCTCGATAGCATGATGCTTCATTTCAAGCATCCATTTGAAATCCTACTGTGGTGAAAGTACCGATCTTAATGATAATAATAACAAACACACCTAATAAGAGCACATTTTTAGTAGGAAATCACTCTAGTTTCATCTGAATCACTGTGAACAATATAAAGTAGATGTAAAAAAATAAATAAATACGAGTATAGAGTATAAATAGAAGTGTCTAAAAACTTTGTCCCAAAGTATAAAAATGTTAAAGATGGATTGTTATGGAGCTGTTTTATTGCTCCCAGTAGATGGTCAGCAGGTTTAAGTCATAAATCCATTCTTTAGAGCTGCTGTCTTTCTTTGCAGCCAGCAGCATTACCATCTGCCTTTATTTGATTTGATTTTTTAACACCATACAGTAAAAAAATAAAATAAAATCAACTCAAACATATGGAAATGTTCAGCAGCATCTCTTCTGTTATTCACATCCCTCCAGCACGGTAAAACCCATCTTTTGCCGTCCTTCTCTCTCTCACTCTCCCTGCTCATTGTAGGTGTGGGTCTCTTGGCACTGTTTGTGCTGAATCATGAGGACATCAAACAATGACTGGCTGGACAAAACTGACAACTAATGAAATAACTTTGTGGGAGTGTGACACTCTGGGGTGGGGTGGGGTGGGGTTGGGTGGGGGTGCACAGTGACCCCTGATTTCATTCTGCTGGGCCTATGGCAGGCCGATCTGCCGGCCAGCTTGGACACTCTCGGTGCTGTTGGCAAAGTTTCCACCCCTGGGCGTCCCGTATATATTGAGCTCATTGTGCCATCACAAACACACTGGCACAGACAGGTACTGGTAAGGGGATCATGTCCGTCACGCTGTATTTTATAAAAAAAATTTTAATATATATATTTATCAGTATTTGTCTTCTTTTTGCCACTGTAATTTAGGTTAAATCTTAGAAACTTAGAACAATAACAGCAAACAGAATCAATCAACAGCTTCTCAGATTTTAGAAAAAGCTACCAAAAAAAAAAAATTACAGAAATACCTCAAAATTATTCAGAATTATACTTTTACCTGTTTCTTTTCAGCATCATCCTTATCCATTCAATATGGCCACAGACCACCAGAGTCCTGCATCCAAGCAGCAGCAGCCAGGCACCAGTGCGTTTAAGGTGAGGGAGGACAGGCGCACACTGGCAGCGAGACCAGTTCACATAAGTTCACATGAAATCTGTGCACTCCATATTTGCAATTGTTTATCTTCCAAAAAAACACAACTCCTTTCAAGAGCTAAAAAAGAAGAAGAAATTTTTCCTCTTTTCCAGCTGGTTATCTATGAGCAGGAAAACTTCCAGGGACGCTGCCATGAGCTGACTGGTCCCTGTAACAACCTTCAGGAAGCAGGCGTGGAGAAAGTGGGCTCCATACTGGTGCTGTGTGGACCGTGAGTGTGGGTCAGAGACAGACAGAGAAAACTAGCAAATGACCAAAAAAAGAGGGAATGGAATAGAGAAAAGCAATCAAATTTAATGTGTGATAAGCAGACAACCAACCATCTTTCCAGCTGAGCCCCTGCATCAATCACAGCCCCATTTGTTGTTGTGGTTGTTGTTGTTGTTTTCTGTCTTCTCAGATGGGTGGGATATGAGCAGGCCAACTGTAAGGGGGAGCAGTATGTGTTTGAGAAGGGCGAGTATCCTCGCTGGGATTCCTGGACCAACAGCAGGCGTAGTGACACCATTGTTGCATTCCGCCCCATTAAAGTGGTAAGAGAGATTTACAAATTTATACCTCCATCCCATAATCAGCTGCTTCACATCTCACCCTTGGCTTGATTTTTTTTTCTTCTGATTCATCAGGACAGCCAGGAGCACAAGATTGTCCTTTACGAAAACCCCAGCTTTGCAGGGAAGAAGATAGAAATCATAGATGATGATGTCCCCAGCTTTCACGCACACGGCTACCAGGAGAAGGTCTCTTCTGTTCGGGTCCAGAGTGGCACGTGAGTCCATCCTTTCAGCAGGTGCTGTATATCATAGAAATAGCTGCCACATGCCCTTTGACCTCTAATTGGCTAACATTTGTTTCCCCTCTCTTTGCTTGTGGTGCACCAGCTGGGTGGGCTACCAGTATCCAGGCTACAGAGGCTATCAGTACCTGTTTGAGAAGGGGGAGTACAAGGACACCACTGATTTCGGAGCCCAGATTCCTCAGATCCAATCAGTCCGGCGCATCAGAGACATGCAGTGGCATCAGAGGGGTGCCTTTCATCCCGTCAACTAAGCTTGTGACTCTCTCCTGTCAGGAATCCTGACCTCAGCATCCTCTGCTCCCTTTCTGGCAACAAACCCTTTGACCTTCATTTACCACCACCATGCAGCATTTTGATATCAGCTGAGGCAGTAGTAACAATCTTTGAAGCAAACTAATAAATCCTCATTGCTTACATTTGACTCAATCATGGGATTGTCTTCTGTTTTTCCCCTCCACACAAGTCCTTCAGACTGCAACACCTGAAAAACAGACACCACCAATGCATCTAAACTGTGCTTAAACCACCAGAGAATATATGGGTATTGTGAAGGCATTACATGGGTTGGTTTGTGCACTGGCCCACTCCGACCAATAGGCTGCGCTGTAGGGTGTTTACTGGAGACGTCACTTCCTGTTGTCCCAGTAAAGAAGAGGCAACATTACAAGATGAAAAATATTCTCCTGCTTTAGCGTGCTAACGGTTTAATTTTTAAAAGCTATTATAGTAACTGCATATATTATCCCCACATTCCCCGGATACTTTGGTAAGAAAATGTTACAGCTCACGAGTTAGCTTAGCTTAGCTAGCTAATGTTAGACCACGTTTAGGTTTTGTATGTGTTGTACTACTCTTAAATTTGGCATGTTTTGAAAATATAGCCTGATAATCCACTAATATGACTGAAGTTGTGACTAAGTTATCCGCTTATTTCTTTGATTGAAGTAACGGGGTGTTTTATCGACTTTTATGTCGATAAAAATGAAGCTAATGTAGTAAGAATCCAGCGTATGAAGTAAAGTTTCTTATTCTTCAGGGCTGACATCTCACCTACCTGGCTATGTAAGGAGCTGTAAAAGTGTTTTTAAAGCACTTACTAGACCATTAGACTAAAGCCAAACTTTAAATTGGGATTTTCAGGTTACAAAACGAACATGATAAAGATCACTTTAAGGAGATCAGCAACGAAGAAGTTGAGTTTTGTAGATTTGTATGGCTTTGACATGAAATATTTAAAGTATTTGTTATATTAATTTTGGACATTATTGTTCTTTTAATAAACCACCTTTCCAACAGTCAAGATGCCTGTCCAGTGTAGCAGCTGCTCTGAAAAGCGTGCTGTGCTTAAACGTCCAAAAACCGGCCACTCTCTGTGTAAGGAGTGCTTCTTCTGGGCCTTTGAAGAGGAGATTCATCAGACCATAGTGTCAGCAAAGCTGTTCAAAACCGGGGAGTCTGTGGGAATCGCTGCCTCCGGGGGAAAAGATTCCACTGTGCTTGCACATGTAATGAAGGTCCTGAATGAGCGATACAGCTACGGCCTTGAGCTCATGCTTCTCTCGGTGGATGAGGGAATCACGGGTTATCGAGATGACTCCTTGGAGACTGTGAAGAGGAACCAGCAACAGTATGAGCTGCCTCTGAAGATTGTGTCCTATGAGGAGCTGTATGGCTGGACAATGGATGCTATAGTGAAGCAGGTTGGGCTGAAAAATAACTGCACCTTCTGTGGCGTGTTCAGGAGGCAGGCGTTGGACAGAGGAGCCATCATGCTTAAAGTGGACAAGATATGTACAGGTAGATTCAAATGACTGAAAATGTGAGCAGTGTTAGCTTTAATGTGTTGTTTTGAATAACGAGATGTCTCTGTTTTGTTTTGTTTTTTTCCCCTCTGCACAGGTCACAATGCTGATGATGTGGCAGAAACTGTTTTGATGAACGTCTTGCGAGGGGACATAGCTCGGCTGCGCCGCTGCACCACCATCTCAACGGACAGCGAGAACGAAGGGGTCGTGCCACGCTGCAAGCCCCTTAAATACGCTTATGAAAAAGAGATTGTTCTGTATGCTTACTTCAAGAAATTAGACTACTTTTCTACTGAGTGTATCTACTCTCCTAATGCTTACCGTGGCTATGCAAGAACCTATTTAAAGGATCTGGAGAGTGTGAGGCCCAGTTCGATCATGGACGTTATTCACTCCGGTGAGAACCTGTCTGTGCGCGAGGGGGTAAAGATGCCTGTCCAGGGAACCTGCAGCCGGTGTGGCTACATCTCCAGTCAGAAACTGTGTAAGGCATGTGTGCTGTTGGAGGGGCTGAACCGAGGTCTGCCAAAGCTGGGAATAGGCAAACATCACCGCTTCCATGATAAAATCCTCTCCCAGCAGCCACTTACAGAGGAGGAGGAGAGAAAGCTGAAAGCAGTAGACTTTTGAATCATAAATAATGTTTTTTTTTTTTTCTTTAGAATAAATGACATTTGTTGTCTTTTATAGGAGAGCGATCAAATCTTATCTTTCCATTTCATATCATTGAAGTATTTATTGACTGTTTATATGGAATTTTAATTTGAAATGCTATGTAGACTTTTTACACTTTATACAAAAGAGTGTGACCAGCTGCTTTTGTTGTCATTTGCCATCTAAAAAAAGACATTTGAAGGTGCATTTACTTTATTTTTGTATGTCCCAGTGTACCAACCTTTGGGGAAGGGTCTGATAACAGTTATGGTCATACTTCAAAGTATTTTATGATCTATAATAAATGCATTGATCTTTATCTTCAAACTTGTCCCAAAAACTTGAGTATGCAGTCTGATTTGTTGTGCCTTTCATGATTCTAATGGTATAAAGTTTATTCTTCTCTGAGGTTATGTGAACAGATATGCACTACATGATCTAGAAGGTTTATAAAAAAATCACGGTTGCTTATACAGCCATGACATTATTTGGATATTTGGAGATATTTATTTTAAACGTGTAATTCCGGTGTTTGGCCGCTAGATGTCCCTCATCACCGCCATTCAGTCGGCGCGCGCCCTGGAAAAGTACACACAGTGGTACACACAAACTGCCGCGCGTTCACGAGAGCCATCCTGACTGACCAACTTCCAGGGCAGCAGTGCTGGTGAAGTTTGAAGGGGGAAAAGTCAGATTTCACAAACCATCCGGAAGGTCGCCAAACAAAAAACTGACGCAGTCCACAACTAGGCAGCAGCTATGGACGATTTAGGTAAGTTATGAGGTTTTTTTTTTCCATATGTGGGTTTTCTGCCCCCAGTTTGGAGCGGATAGCAGGGTGGAGGGGTAGTCAACGTTACGAAGAGATTTTATGCTGGCTGTTTGTCCAATGTAGCTTTCTTATCCAGGGAAACTTGCGAATACCTGACAGAAATGTTACAGTGACGAGCGAAAGAGTGAATGTTGTACCGACTTGACTTTCTCCTCACACTGTTGTAAAATAAGCAGCCTAGTAGGTTAGCAGCTGGACATCGCTAGCCTTTAACTCTACCTACTTTTTAACTCTCCCTCTCCGAGGTGAAGCGAACGTCTCTGGCAATACCACGCCGCCCTGCTCGTCTAAATCAAGGTCTTTTTTTATCAGTATGTGTGCCGGAGGGAGGAGTTATTTAATGACATTTTGACATTAAGCCTCAACATTACCTTCTCAACTTTTGCCCCAAGGCTACTCATTCCAGCTTTGAAGTGGTAGAGTCAACAGGCCTCCCTGTACAATGTGTGCTCAGCCCTGGCCTGGCTGACTTCTAGTGATCCTCCAGTGTGACAAACTTAACTTGCAGGGATGTATAATTACTTGGTATACTGGTACACTTTATCGTTTTATATCAAAAACTAAAAACTGAGGTATAGGAAGCGGAAAGATCAGGTCTGAAAACTGTTTGATTAGACATGTGCAAGTTGAGAAATGCTGTAAGAGTTGGACAATCAGTACATCTTTAGGGATCTCCTGATTGGGAAATTCTGTGCTGATACTGATAATGAGCTCATATTCAAACATGTGTTTATTTACCTAGCAAACAAACCTTCATCATAAGAAATAACTCTGTGCTGATGGAGACTTTAAACTGTCTTTAAACATTTGTCACACACCAGATCAAACTGGCCTCTACCATTAGGCCGATATCTTGATGTATCCCTGACAATTTTGCACAGGAAAATATACAACATGTTTGTTAATGGCCGAATGTCATTTTCTCTTAGCTGCTTCACATGTCTGTCATGACTCTTTGTGCATTTTCTGTTTTTGTTTTGTGTTGGGAGACACTGTCTCTTAATAGAGACTGTAACTTGTAGCTGAGGCTTTTTTCAGTGTCTGTTAATATAACTGTTATTTCTGGACTGGTGTGGCATCCCCTTGTATTACTAATTTGATCATCACAAGTCATGAAAAAACAGTGATGTCATCAGATAGCTTGTGGATGACTTTAACTGGTTAATTTTATTTCTTTTAATAATTTAATCAGTTTTATGAATCCTTTCATCGGTACTACAGGTTTTATCTGCCTTTTATCAACGCCAGTTCTCCTGACGTTACCAGCGTCATCTTTTTTTTTTTCCTTGTTCTACTTTGGCCCCACTTTTAACCTTTGACACGCAACGTCTGAGTTTCTAATTATGTTACACTTTTAGCAGCTGGCAGGTTTCTATATTTGCATTACTAATTCAGTACTTGTGAAAAACTTGTTTCACCAGTCAAATATCTGTAGGAATCTTCTGATCTCTGAAAGTAGACCAGCAGTGAAATGGATTTGCGAATTGTTTAAGTGGAGAGATGATGGGCCGCATTTCCCATTTGTCTGTTGTGAGAATACCTCAAGGAGCCATTAGACACTCTCGCTGCCTTATGAGGCTGAAAGGATTGATTGTTGGTTGAGAGGGAGCCTGTAGGCTCGCTGAAGGGCTGACGGAGGGGGCGAGGCTGCTGAGGAATTTCGACCATCACTTTCTGACACGGTCCAAGGCCGAAAACTCTCTGGGTCACGACTCGCCTCCTGTCGCTACTATCTGAGAGAGGGATGTTGGTTTCACACGTGTCTCATTAGAATATGGGTACCCTAGTAATTGCAGGCACTGTTTAAAAAATTTGACCTTTGGGGTCAATCGCAGTCATCCCACATCCTCCCTAAATACACAAAAACAAGTCAGTGTAAATATTTTTAAATATCACATCACTGAGGTTTACTCTACTGCTATTTACCTGCACCTGCAGGTCCTGATATTCAGGGTCACTGTTTGAATACTATGTTTGTGTATAGTGATCTGGTGTTGCTCACTGCT